ATTTTAGTCGCTCTCCTCTGGACACATCAACATCTCCTTCTAGAATTGGACACAGTATTTCAGGTGTGGTCTGTCTAAGGCAGAATAAAGGGGTAGCATGATTTCTCTGAATTTAGGCACTATACTCCTATTTATGCGGGCCAAAATCCCATATTTAACTTGTTGTCCACAAGGACTCCAAGATCTTCTTCACATGTACTGCTATCGAGCCAGGCATCCCCCATTCTGTATCTTTGAATTTCAATTTTTTTTTTGCTTAAGTGGAGTACCTTGCATTTGTCCCTGTTGAACTTCATTTTGTTAGTTTTGGCCCATCTCTTTAATTTGTTTAGATCATTTGGAATTCTGCTCCTGTCTTCTGGAGTATTAGCTATTCCTCCCAATTTGGTGTCGTTGGAAAACTTGATGATCATGCCTTCTAGTCTTTCATCTAAATCATTAATAAAGATGTTGAACAGAACCTCTGTTTTAAAAAAACACACACAAGTAGCTTTCCTTCAAGGACCTACTCCCTGCATACTTCATTCTACCAGGTCACTGGTAGTGACTTTCCCTATTGCATCCTATTGTTGGTGACTTTCCCTATTGCACCTCGAAGCATTGCAACTGTGGTGCTTCAGTGATCCCATGACAGATGTAACTCTGTCCTCCTACAGTTTCACCATTTTGCTATTATTTTATTTCATTAAAACTATGTCAAAATTTCAGCAAAGTTTTGTAAAAGAAAAAAAACCCTCTTAATTTTTAATTGTTATGAGGGCATGTGAAAGAGAAGGACAATTCCCCCTTGTGTGCCGACATGAAATGGCTATCGTTGCACCAGGTATGTTGCTGCATTGTGGCATGAACAAGAGCTATTGATGGTTGTGCCCATCAATTGTAGGGGATTGTATGTTGCAGAAAGGTGCAGAAAGGCTGCAGAAAGGTGGCAGGCTACCAATAGGTTGTGCATGGTATTGTGCGATATCGGTCCTACTTCTATGCCAGTTTGGCACATCCATGCGATAAAATCCTAGGGAAACACACTACTTCCAAGGCCAGATGAACATGTCTGAATGTGGATCCAACCCATTGTTCTTCCTTTATAACCCTATAGCCCATTTCAGATCTATGTTTCAGTGAAAAAATAAGTAATATAAATATTAATATTGGTTGCAATGATAGATAATTCTGAGGTGGTTTGCAAAATATATCCAAATAAAAGAAATGGGGCAGAATCCAGCACATAGTAGTGGAAGGTTATAATGTTGTTATTTGGAAAGCTAGATGAAATGATCCAATTTTTATTGTTTTACTGACTGACTGACTGACTGATTGATTGATTGATTTATAGATTAACTTTTAGCCCAGCAGTCAATGGTGAACACGTTTTTCCACCTACACACGCTTCTGATGTGCTCGAAAGATAGTGAAGAGAATTTAGTTCACTGTTTCTAAAATGTCTGCCCTGTTCTTCACTTGACGATTACTTCTTGAAGTGGCTTCAAAAATGCAGTCCAGTCTGAACCAACAAAGTGAAAGATATTGATTAATTCAAAAAATTAGAAGAGTAGCCAGAACCACTGGGTATAAAAGCTCATGGATGCAAGAAACCAGTTTAGAGAACTAGCTTGCTCTTTCCTGTAAACATTCCCTGCAAATATTTTCACATCTCCCTAAATGTACCACCAGAACAAGCTTTTGTAGTATTTTTTGCTCATCAGAAATGTAAGATCACAAAGCATGGTGCTGTGGAGGCGGTTTTACACTCATTTAACTGCCATGCCTGGGATTTGTAGTTTGGTGAGATACTGGCATCCTTTGGCAGAGATGGCAAAAAGATCACATAAAATTGTGACTGCCATGCCATCATAGCACTGAACCATGGCATTTCAAATAATATCAAATTGCATTAATTCTACCGTGTAAATGCCACTTGAATCTTCAGTTTTAATGAGTTATCTCCAGATGAGAGAAAAGGGTGTGATTCATTCAGGCTCCAAGAAAGAGCAAATGATTGAAAATCTCCAATTCTGATAGTAGAGCAACCACTTGCAGCACTCTGCAAAATTTAATTGATTTGTTGCTGCAATAGACTTTCTAAAGAGTCTATGGGCCCTTATACAGCCATATATCCAGAATATCAAGTCAGAAAATCCCACAATATCTGCTTTGAACTAGCTTATCTGAGTCCTCGCTCAGATAATGTGGGATTTTTGCCTTCATATTCTGGGATATAGGGCTGTGTGGAAGGGTCCTATGCATTTATAGTACTTATCTTTCCACCCTTCTACTCAGTGGTGGTGTCAGAGCTCACTCTCCACTCTGCTCTGCATCTGTCTTCTGGCCAGATTAAACATTATCTATTCTATCTCCCCAAGAAAACCAGAAAGAATAAGATTTCTCTTTTAATCTCCAAACATACAATTTCTGTATGAGAGAGAGTTTGTTTGAATAACAAGTTATGAGCAACTTTGGTTGGAAGATTACATACAATGCTTACACTCAATACCAAAGGCTGTCCCTGGGTCACAAGTTTACAGCGAGAGAGCTCGGGACCTGAGACAATCCTGGACTGGCAAACCTATGACTGATTGACTATTTCCCAGCTCATGCAGTATTGTTCATTGTGCACTGTAGGTTCCAGCTGTGTCTATGATCACTGCTACAAGTAGTAGTGATGATGATGATGATGATAAATTATTTGTTTCCCACCTCTCCTCACAGTTCATAGAAAAATTAGTAGAACATTCTGACCATGGATTTGGAACAGGGTGGAGGAAAAAGTGCTATCCGTTACCAGTAAAGATTGAAAGGCAATGATAGAGGCACGAGGTTTGCAAGCCCATAACGGCTGATTGGCTAGCCTTCCTTGCTAACTTAGCAAAACATCAGTCCCAACCAACACCAAAGGTGGCTAGCTACTATATATTCTCTATCTGCATCTCTTGATTCTAGAACTATCTCTTAAAATTTATAACTGAGGATGAGAATTCTCTTGTTTCCCAATGGCAAACTATTGTTGACTTTTTCAGGCATTACTTTATAGGGCATCAACTTCACCTACTGAAGCCATCTACTCATATGAGAAATGTGTGTGCATGAAATTCCCATGTCTCCTTGATGGGAACGCCAGCTCCAAATGCTTCAGCTATTTAGTTTTGTCTTTCAAGTGCATCCTTATTAGCATGAGAAAAGAGATAACATGCAATGATGCTAGCATATGCTAGATAACATGCAATGGGGTTAGCAGCTAAAAACACACATGCAGTGAGATGAGGTATTTCGCAATTGAAAGCTATTGTGATTTATTATTTGTTTACTTGTCAACTAGATTTATATCCTGATTCTCCTGTAGTGAGAATCATCCAGGACACACTGATCTCCCACTCCACAATATATCTTCTCAACTACCTGGTGAGGTAGATTAGTCTGAAAGCGAGAGTGATCAGTTCGAGATCACCCAGGAATTTACAAAACACAGTGAGGACTTGACTGTGGACATCCCAAATATCCACAGTCAAGTCCTCTCAGGTATATCCCAAATATCCACAATAATACTCAAATTACTACACTATTGTGGTTATCGATATGCTATTTCTATAACTGGAGAAAACATTTTTGAATATTTAAAATTTGCTTTAAGAATCAAAGATGTTATCTTTGGTCAAGCATATCAATTTTACCTTTGCAGAGCTTTTGTTTGTTTGTTTTACCCTACATTTGATATGCGGGTTTCAATTTTGGATTGAGTTAATCCAATTTTGGGCAGGCTGGAAAATCCCTCCTTTTAAATGTGAATATTTGTTTTAGTTCTCTTGAAAATAACATATACAGGCAGTCCCCAAATTACAAACAAGATAGGTTTGTTCTTAAGTTGAATTTGTTTGTAAGTCAGAACAGGTACATTTTTAAAGTGTCACTCCAACTCTCTCTCTCTCTCTCTCTCTCTCTCTCTCTCTCTCTCTCTATATATATATATATATATATATATATTCTTTAGCTGTCACTTTTCCTTTTTTTCACTCTGTATGGTCTGTTGTTAATGTAATCTTTTTCCTCACCTCAAACCTGTTCCAGGCATGGAAACTGGTCCCTCCCAATCCAGTTCCAAGCTACATTATAGTGTCAATTTAGGGGCACCCTGGGATTAAGAAGGAGGAAGTGGATTATCCAGGCAACAAAACAATCCCTGGTCTTCAACTGGCAATTAAAACCTATTAACTACACAAATAACTTGTTACTGGTAGAGATGAACATCATGTTGTACCTTCAATTTGCTTGTCAATTGCTGGCAACCTACAGCACCTGGTATTCATTGGTGGGTCTTCCATCCAAATACTAACCATAAAAATGTGGAGAAAAATTCAATCTGAATCTAGCACCCTAACTGCTTTATTGTATCTCTCCCAACAGCTGCTGAGAAGTGAGGAAGTGTGGGGGGGGTGTTTATGAGCAAGGATATTGGCCAACAAAAATGCACAAAACACAACATATAAGCTTTGCAAACTTGCATGATGTATACTGTGTCTTGGGCATTTTGGTTGAACAATAAAGACAACACATCCTTGGAGTTTGTGTTCTGTTTTATGGCCATCATGGCTACTCATGAATACTGGTATATTTCTAGCTTTTATCCATGTCTGATTTTGGATGTCAATAAATAATCCAGAAGCAATGACACTAATGAAACATTTAAGGATTTTTAGCCAACAGGAAAAAGAATAGCTGTGATTCTGCAAGACAGTTGCAGATTCATAACCTGGAACTTTAAGTCTTTAGGATTCAATAACACTATGTAGTCATGATCATTGCACTATTGTCAGGGTTGAAAATGTTCATTCAAATGTTGATTTCAAGGAGCATTTGCAATGAAAGATGAAGAAGAGACTGGGAACAGAAAGATGATTTTGCCACTCCTCTCCTGAAAGTGATGGTCAGACAAAGGGCCCCGTTGTAATTTCTTTTGTGGCCTTCAAATCCCAGTGTGTCATTAGTCTTTCTGGAAACTGGCTCCACAGTAGATGACCAAGGCTGAATCCATAAAATTGGAGATTAGAAAAGTTAATTTTGTGGCTGAGGATTTGGAAGAGTTATCCAAACCCTGAATCAAAGACATGGATAACATAGACTTAAACATCATTAACTTATCAAAACACACAGTTTTCTAGGTCTTCTTAACAACAATGCATAAACATGACCCTTTCTTCTTTCAGTTTCTTGGAACTGCAGTTGTATAGAAAAGAAAACAAAGGAAGAGGACTTGGAAACCCCCTTCAAGAATCCACTTTGAGTAAAGATCAATATGGTTCAGGGGGACCTTGGGCAATGGATTGTGACAGAGACTATCCTTGTTGTTAGAATCCTTTTGTTAGAGTCCTTTTAAAGGACTTTTAAGTCAGTATTTTTCATGCTATACTCATTTGTTTGTTCATCAATAGTACATTTTGTTGATTGTATCTCTGTTTTTAATCCTTTAAACTGCCTCAAACCCCATTTGAAATACAAAAGTGAGAGAGGAATTACATCAAATTCATCCATCAATTAAACAATTATTTGTATTCTGCATGAAGGAAAGTTGAATGACATAACTGTTTAAAATTATGATACAATGCATATTTCTTGAAATGACATAATCTGTATTGCTTCCAGTATTGACAATGGTGGAACTGTTAGGAACTGAGATATTTTTTTTTCCTTTTAAGCAGTAAAAATTCCACCCAATCTGATCTGAGATTCAGAGGTTTCTCCAGGTGAGAAGTATAAAGAATTAACCCCATCACTGGTGTCAAATTTATTGGGTTTACCATTCCTGAAACTGAGATACAATTTGCAGTCAAATGTGTATATGTTGAGGTTGTGGTGCATTCCCTGAAACAGTGGTTCTCAACCTGTGGGCCGCAGCCCAGCAGTGGGCCACGAGAATGAAAATCTGGTCCATGAACCTTCTTCCTCTTTATTTTATTTTATTTTATTTTCGCTCCTTTCCGCAGAGCTGACCAGCCCCAACTCTTTTGGTACTAACGTTGGAAAGTGGTCTCTGGTCAAAGTGGGTCTTGGTCAAAGTGGGCCCTGATAAAAAAAAAAGGTTGGGAACCACTGCCCTGGAAGAAAGAGGGTGAACTTTTCAGTGTTTACACACATGTAAAATATGCACACTTCTAAAAAGCAGAAATACAATAATTATTCAGTGACTGTATGTACCCCAAAATGCATTTAAGTTAATGTATATACATATTAGGGGGAAATGTACTCAAAAGCCATACTAATTTCTGTGCAGGTGGAGGAATCCATTATAGGATTGGGGAAGAATTATCTGGACAGTTAAACAAAAAAAAAGATCCTTGACTAGATCAGGCTTGAGAAACATGCCCATCCCTACTCCAGGCATGCCTGTGCATATTAAAGCCTAGCTTGAGGGCTAGAAACTTGATATTTAAAAATATAAATGGATTTTTGCATGCTGGATTTTATTTGCATACATTTCAAAACCCTTCTACTTTTCAACACTAGTATAAAATCATAGACTACATCACCAAGCTCTGTGGTTAATTACAAGTTATTTTGCATTCAAGGACAGAAGTGGACAGGATTAGACTGGACAAGCTGATCTAGTAGATCTCTTCGAAACCTGAAAATTGGTAGCAGCATACAACATGCTTCTTGACTTGCATTCCCTCCAACCTAGAGATAAATCTCTGAGAATTTGGGCTTAAGTGCATGGCTTTAAGTGTGCGTGCATGGTAAAAAGGTGCGTAGGGGGAAGCCTTCAAGTTGTGAACATCAGTGTCTCATCCTTTCTTTGAACTTTGATTGATGAAGGGTGTTCCATTTTTGCTGGCCAAGAGATCCCGGCTTGTCCAGGCATTTTGTCACATGCACGGTAAGACAAAAGGACCAAAGGGATGGCTTGCCTTTTGTTTTGTTTTGAGAAAAGGTGTTGTCAGAGTTGGCACTGGGCGTATCCAAGAGTGTGTTGATGCCAGGCCTTTCTGGGTGAGTCTACCCTCAGGCTGGATGCACCTTTTAGGCCATTCGGAGGAGGAGGAGGAGAGCCATATGAACCCCACCTTGGAGTGAAAACTGGAGGGCAAATATAACTAAAAAAGAAAGAAAGATGGGAATCATTCTATGGATAAAAGAACATACTTCAGCCATATACATACTTATGTGAACTCATGAAACAGTCATCCAGAGTAAAACTCATTTTGTGAATGATCCACAAAAACCTTTTTTCACAACAATTTTATCTATCCCCCATTTGAATGTATGTACATATTTAATATTATTTACTTGATTTCCTTCTGCTTTTCCTCTGATATGTGAATCAGCATATGTACAAATATGTGTAGACAATTTGTGGATACTGTGTAAGTGACTACTCTACTATCTACCAAGATGGATTGTGATCTAAAGTTGGCTAGCAATGTGATTTTCTTCAGAAAGTTTGGGTTACAACTCCCGTAAATCCCCAAGCAACATGGTCAGAGACTGTCTGCACTTCAATTTTGTTGCTTGGGGAAAGAAGGACAGAAGCTTAATTAAATAAATTCAACCCGTGGGAGACCACAAAGAAAAAAAAGTGAAATGCAGAGGAATAAACAAAGTTTGTTAGATCCGTTACACATACTTAAAGTCTGAATATAAACACTCAGAGAGTCTGCCAAAAAAATTACAGAGGGAAAGAGTTTTGCTCTACAACATGCACACACACGCCCAAGTTTTCCCCCCTATAAAATGATGGCAAGGAGTATAGAACTACCATTAGAAAATACAACATTTTCCCCTAGAAACTGCAAAATAAAAATGGTTTTTAAAAAAATCACATTCAAGCTCTCGGGCATCTAAAGTTAGATCTACACTGTCCTATATCCCAAGATCTGATCCCAGATTATCTGCTTTGAACTGGATTATATGAGTCTCTACTGGTATATACTGTAGGATAAATCTGGGGGTCCTTCCACAAAGGGCCCATAAGGTATAAGCTCACACACTTTTACCGAAGATATCCAAATGACACCTCTGGTAAAACCTAATTAATTTGGGACAATAATAACTTTAATAATAATAATAATAATAATAATAATAATAATAATAATAATAATTTTATTTTAACCCCCTCTCTCTCCCCGAAGGGACTCAGGGTAACCAAAGCAGGAAAACCCTGCTTTGTCCTCAATTAATTAGGTACTGGATTAGACCTGGGTCGGTGGGGATTGCACCCTTGGAAGCCCTGGGACTTCTGGGGGGGGGGGGGGCTATCCACATAGCCCATTCAGGTTTTCTGGGTTCAATCAACCTGGAAAATCCAGAGGGTTGTAACTCCCTCCCCCAAAACCCTTAAAACCAAAAAAGAATCTCTGCCATTGCCGTACTGCTGGAGCTCTCCTGGCATGTAAAAATGATGCAACAGAAGGGGCTACAAGGAGAACTCCCCCCCCCCCCCCCCTTCACCTTGTGTGTCATTTCTACATGCCAGGAGAGCTCCAGCAGCATAGTAATGGTGGCCAGGTGTGTAATTTTTAGGCTTTTTTCTGTTGTTTTTGTAAATGTCTAGGTGCCCTGCAAGAAGATCCAGACATCCCACCCCCACCCCACCCTCCAAAAAATGCAGGGGGTTTTTTTGGGGGGGGGAGAGATGTGCAGACTGTAACCCATGCCCAATCAGGTTTAAGAAACCCAATTGGGCATGGATTAAAGTCCTGTGTGGAACTGGTCTGAGATCAGATCCTGAGATATAGAACAGAGTCAAAGGGGCTTACAACTGGATCCACACTGCCATAGAATGCAGTTTGAACTGCATTATAATGGTCAGTGTAGACTCATACAATGTAGATTGGACTTGATTGCATTTCTACACTGCCATATAATCCAGTTCAGTGCAATTAATCTGCATTGTGAAACTGGATGATATCATAGTGTAGATGGGGTCTCAAAGAAGCAAAACCAGAGGAATGTGTTCAACCAGGATTAGAAGTGAGGGCTTTGGGAGCTATAGTCTAAACCGGAGGTTCCCAAAAAGCCCTTGGGGCTCCATGGTTTCTTCTCCTCGTCCCCCCCCCCCTAAAGCTTTCCTCATCTTTCCTGCTCCTACCCTGCCTCCCTCACCACCAAAAGCTTTTTCAACCTGCCTTCCTTGCCGCCAAAAGCCTTTTTTCCTCATCTTATTAACAGCCCAGATCCTTTTCCCCCTGCCTTGCTTGCTTCCAAAACCCTATTTCTCTCCCACTAATCATAGGGTGCTTTGGTTGTGCTTTATTTACCTGCATTGCAGAAGGAGGTTGGATTGAATGACCCCTGGAGTTTCTGCTATTATTATTATTATTATTATTATTATTATTATTATTATTATTATTATTACTACTACTACTATGGCACTTTTGTTGTGAGTTGAACGCAGTTAGTTTTAACTACAGATGGTCTGCATTTTAAACTGTTGTTTGTTTTATTTTATTTGTTAATAGGGGTTGTTTTTATAACTTTTATGTGATATTGTTTTTATATTCATGAACCATTTATGTTATATACTACAATTGTAGTGCCTAGTAAGCCACCCCAAGTCCCTTTTGGGACATGGTGGTGAAATATAAATAAAGATGATGGTGATGATGATGATGATTACAAAGGCTGGATGGTCATCTGTTGGGGGTGCTTTCATTGTGCTTTTCCTGCCTGGAAGAAAGGGGTTGGACTGGATGGCCCCTGGGTTAAATATTATTTAAGTCCACATTGGTTAAAAAGTTTGCCCATGCCTGATTTATACATTTAATATAATAATATAATATAATATAAACATTTATTGGGATTCCACAAGAAACTTTTGCTCCAAAAAGGGCTCCACATCTGAAAAAGTTTGAGAACCCCTGGTCTAAATAATCTGAAGGGCTTTTGCTGTGCCCCAGTAAGCCATGGCGTAATATCGGGAACACGGCTTCCTAAACTTTCAGTTCAACCCTTTACTGTTCCGCTGTGTTTCCGTTCCTGCCCAAACTGTCCAAGATCTCCTGAAACATTGTTTCCCAGTAGCACTTAGCAATGATAAACCAGAGGAAATTGTTCTACGGGAGTGTCACCCTTTTTTCAATTTTCTCCTCAGTTGTGGCTTGCTATCTCATCTTATATTTCATTGCTTGGGCCTATTTAGCTGCTAAGTTCTTCAGGGCAGGGAGCGTGTCTTGTCTAGTTTTCAAAGCACCTCCATTTTTATTGTGTTTTATTAGTGTTTTGTTTTTAATTATGACAACAACAATTAGGGTTGTGAGAATCCTTGAGGGTCTGGTTCATGAACTAAGCCCTGTGCCATTGGGATACAGCTGTTTGGATAGCAACCAAACCCTGAAGCTTTGCTTGGGCGTTGAGTGGCACTGACAAATTTGAACCAACAAAGTGAAATTTCCAGAGCTGCCTCACACCAGGAGCAATGTAGCTGGGCGAGTACTTTTGTGTATTTGTGACTCCTAACATTTAATAACCATCCAGCGGATGCACTTTTTCCCATTATGGTTCTCCTATGACTGGAGGAGCTAACTCTGCCTCATTTTTCCCCTTTATCAAAAGTGGAGAACCTCAACGAGAAACCTAGATTTCTTGTAGTCCCTCTGAATTTGCCCAAATGGCCATGCCCCATTTCCCAAGAAACTATTGTTTGGCAGTATCTGTGCCAAATTAGTACCAAATCTCAGAGACAGAACCAAGGATCTAGGGCTAGACCCTGTTGGGTTACATGGAAAGGTCCTGGTTATGTCATTAAGCATCAACAAGGCCATATCATTCATTTTAAGAACAGACCAAAGGTCAGATTCTTGTTAAGTGACACTATGACTGCACCATCCAATATACACCTGGGTATGTCCCTTCTTTACTTTTGGTTTTTGTTCTAGTGTATATGATGCTGCTTGCCATAGTAGCATAGTCTCCCTCTCCCCTTCCCTCCTCCTTAACAAACATTTTATACTTGGCTGGGATTACAGATGTTTGCAGTGACACATTTTATTACACTCTGATTTCCTCATTTGCTGGCCATTGAGTTGTACTGGAGGCTCAGGACTTAAGCAGATGTAGCTGGGGAAAACAAGGGAAAGAAGGGGAAACCATATTACTCCATTCCCTCCTGTTTTTCCCAGCCTTGAGGGATGGCCAGCCATCCCACGTCCTTACCCGTCTTTCCCCTGCTTTCTCCTGTCTTAAGACTGTTTAAAGTCAGATAACACCCAACTCCTGAAGATGGGTGTAGGACTCCATTTTCATGCGCTGCAGAAACAAAGTTCCATGTGTCCCACTGGAAGTGCTCTTATGTTAAGTGATTGCCTCTATGGGACTCCCACATGGAAACGGGAATCCTACACCCATCGGTGAGGTCTCTAGAGAGTCCTCGAGAGAACACTTTAACCAAATCAGTGAAGAATCACTGATAACATCGTGCCTTCATTATAATAAGAAGGATGAATTTATTTAATTTATTTGTACCCCTGCCCTTCTCAACCCCCTCCCCGGGAGGGGGGGGGGGCTCAGGGCAGCTTACATCCAGCACAATTCGATGCCATTACATATAAATAATACATACAGTTATTACATATAAGAACACCATAAATTAATTTTAAAATTAGTTTTAAAATAAAAAATACATTAATAAAAAAGTGCAATAATACTGGCTGTCTAGTCTTCTATAGAAACAAATTCAGTGAGCACAACACAATTGGAAGCCTGTCTATAGTCCATTTTCCATAACATTATCATCATTACCATTGTCAATTATCTGCCAGCTATCCAAAGGCCTGGTCCCATAACCATGTTTTCCATTTCCTCCTGAAGGCAAGGAAGGATGTTATTGACTTGATTTTGCTGGGGAGCGAGTTCCACGGGCAGGGGGCCACCACCGAGAAGGCACTGTCCCTCATCCCCGCCAAGCGTGTTTGCTCCAAAGGCAGGGCCGAGAGCAGGACCTCCCCAAAAGATCTTAAACTTCAAGGTGGGACATAGAGGGAGATACATTTGGACAGGTAAGCAGGGCCAGAGCCTTACAGGGCTTTGCAAAAGAGGAAGGGGAAAGGAATGTAGTAGCACCTTTAAGACTAATTTGTTTTATTTTTGTATCAGCTTTTGTGGATATAAAATCACCAGTAGAAAGCAATAATTCACTCTTCCTCACTTCAGATATTGGCAACTGTGTCAGGCCTGCAAGAGGGAACAGGCTCCGGAAAAAGGACTGCTTTTTTACAGCCAGACAGGTTGCTCAGCTACCCACACACTCACTTCATAAAGTCATCTTGGGAAGCAACTATTTCTTAGCCAATATGAGTTTAAAATTGGCATGAACTAAAAAACTTCTTGAAATCCTTTTTGCAAATGTTGTCAAACTGCCCCTAGAGATCCCTAGATCAAATGACTGCTTTTCAATTTTAGAGCTGATCTCCATAGCCAACAGTCATGGTGGTGGCAGGATTCTGGGAGTTGTAGTACAAGAGATAACTTTTCTAAGCTCCGAATCTGATTCTTAAAGATTTGGTAGAGCTGAATTTCTTCTATGTCTTTAATCATCCTTCAGATGTCTAAGATTGCAGTTTTCACTAATACTGACTAGCATGATGAGCACTGTGATATGAAACCCAGAGACCTCTAGCTTAGGAAAAACTGCCTGCAATAGATAAAAGGAAGAAGTTTAGCAAGCATAGCCTCTTCCTTTGAAGGACCACATCTAAAACACATTGTTAATGGAAGCTTTCAATCAAGGGCCAAAGACTTATCTTTTATCTGTATACATCCATCTTCCAGCATCACAACCTAGATCTTCAAAGCAGCTGTCATGATCAAAAGATTAGCCACTTCACATCTAATTTGACCACTGTTCAGAAAAGTTTTTTTTTTAACTACAGTTCCCAGAATCTACCATGGTGAGTAGTCATGCTGGTGGTGGAATGCTAAGAGTTATACAGGCAGTACCCATATTACAAACACCTGATTTACAAATGCCTCATAGTTAAGAATGGGGGTAAGACAACAAGAAGTGAGAGAAATCTACCCCTCGGAAGGAATATTCACTTCTGAAATAGTTATCATAGGGAAAACATGTTTCCACTGAAGCTTTAGCACCAGTCCTTGGGCCCATCCAGACAGTATCTTTATCCCAGGAGCTTCCACAGCAAACAGGAAGGTTGGCCAGATGCCATTCCCTGTAAATGCAGAAGCAATTACTATAAACAGCAAAAAAAAAAAAACCCGTGAGATTTCCAGGTGCGGAATACGCAGATCTTTGCATGTCTGTTTGAACCTGCAGTTGGAAATCACAGGATTTTTTTTATCTGGGTTTGTTCCTGGGTTTTAGATGTTTGTTCCTGATTGGTCAGTTCCAAAAAAGAAGGGCACACTTGAGTAGAAGGCAAAAAAAATGTTTCAAGCAGCACTTATGTGGATTAGTGAAACTAAGTATTTCAGTTCCACAAAGACAAGGCCAAATTGAGACCATTAAATTCCCAAAATAGGAGCCTCCTTCTGTGTAGGTGTGAATGATTCTGTGAGAAGTGGCATAGAAATCAATTAATCCAATAAATGAAACTGAGAGTTCTAGACAGTAGCATCACAATCTATGTATGAGAACCCATTTGTGATTCTGCAAGTTCAGTGAGGCTAAAGATCTCATCAGACACAAGTCCTTCCCCATTTCCACACACTTCTAAGACATTTCAGGGACAAGTGCCATGGATGTAAAACTACACCCGGTTGTCATCAATTGAACGTTGTCTCTGAAATGTCTTAGAAGTGTGTGGAAACTGGGGAGGACTTGCATCTGATGATATATTTAGTCTCACTGAACTTGCAGAGTCACAAATGGTTTCCCATATATTGATTTTGATGCTACTGTCTACGAAGTATCACAGAGCTCTTCACATGATGTCATCCACTGCACTTAATTCCTGAAATGCAGTCAAAGTGTGTGTGTGTGGGGGGGGAGGAATGGGGGAGTGAGAGAGACAGGGAGAAACCATCTTCTGAATTCCTGATGCACCTGTAAATGACAGAAAATGATTAAAAACACATGAGATGGGATCTGTCCGATTTGCTCATGTTGAATCATTTCAGTGATATGGAGGAATGGGCATTCCTATGGATGGTCTCCTATGCTCCACTTCTTTTACAACAGGTGTTTTGGCCTACAACTCCCAGAAATCCCAGCCAGTTTACCAGCTGTTAGGATTTCTGGGAGTTGAAGGTCAAAACATCTAGGGACCCACAGGTTGAGAACCACTGTTTCACACAAAATCCTTCTGTATGAGCCTAGAAGAGTATTTTTTAATCAATGCAATCCTAAAGAATAGCACTATTGTAAGATATCACCACTTTTGCTGCATTTTCTCCTTCATAGTAATATAGCCTTTTGAAATTGGGCTATTGCTAGTTTAATTAATCTAACAATGGTATAATGGAGAGAAGGAAATCCTAGAAAGAGGGAATCATGACAAAATGGTTTATAATAACACTGCTTTAATGGGGGGGATAGAAGGGATTATGGTGAACCCACGTGATCTCTTTGATCATCGGGAGAGGCCCTGCTCTCGCTTCTGCCCCCTTCACAGGCGTGACTGGTGGGGACGAGGGAGAGGGCCTTCTCCATGGTGGCCCCTCGACTCTGGAACTCACTCCCCAAGGATATCAGGCAAACCCCCACATTGGCAGTCTTTAGGAGGAGCTTGAAAACTTGGCTGTTCCAATGGGCCTTCCCTGAATAAAGGAAACAACACCCTGATCTTACCAACATTCTGCAATATGTCCTCTGAAGCACTTTATCTACCCGTTGCAGTAATTATCCTATATTACCCTCTTAAAAATCCCCTGCTTAGACATACTCCATCTGTGCTCACACCCAGTGTTTTAAATTTTTAATCTATTACTTTTGGCCCTGCCCACAGTGTTGGATTCTTGTGTTTAAAATTTCTTGTGTTATCGCTTATATGTTATTTACAATATTTTGTATATATTTTATTTTGTTTGGCTTGTGTTGTTTTTACTGATGTATTATTGCTGGGGCTTGGCCTCATGTAAGCCACCCCGAGTCCCCTTGGGGAGATGGTGGCAGGGTATAAAGTATTATTATTATTATTATTATTATTATTATTATTATTAAAGTGGCTTATGATAGCACTAGTATAATCATAGAATCATAGAGTTGGAAGAGACCACATGGTCTATTTAGTCCAACCCCTTGCAATGGAGTAAAAGAACAATCAAAGTACCCCTAACAGATGGCCATCCAGCTTCTGTTTAAAAGCCTCCAAGGAAGGAAGGCTTGGGAAAGACAACTCATGACAAAGGGGTTTAAATTGCACTGCTTCCCCTCCCAACCAAATGGGATGAGGTCCATAGCAATCTTGGTAATCTTGACTTTCGATATTGACATTTTCCCTGATTTAAAAAAAAGACTGCAGAGTGCGAGGATTGCACTCGCTCATGCGATGGTTCAGAACACAGGACAGAATGGGAGAACATAATGCGTCTGATGGGATTTGTAAAACAAAATTATGGTTTTTTTAAAATGGAAAAGGATGATATGTTTTGTTATGAAGACAATCTCCTCCCTCTCCTTTCTACAATGCATCTGTTGAAGTCCTAAGGGTGCATCTTCACTGTTGCAGTTTCACATCACTTTAACTACTATGGAATTTTGGGACTCGTAGTTTGGTGCAGAAAAACTAAAGACCTTGTAAAATCACAAATCCCTTGATTCCATAGCATTAAGCCATGGTAGTTAAAGTGGACTCAAATTTCATTATTTTTACAGTGCAGATATACCCTAACAGCTTGAGCCAAAATAGTTTTGTCTGATTCTTCAATTAGCATATAAAAAACCTAAGATACTAGAAAGATTGTGAGATTCAAGAAGCAAAGAGTGATATCTTTTCCGGTCAACACTGGGTTCTGTAGCTTGTGAGAGATCAAGAGCAATTCTTCCTATTGAACCATTGAGGAGCCAGACATACTTGCGGGGGGGGGGGGGGACTAATGGGGTTGTTAGTAAAGACCTGGAAGCCAAATACTGCACAACCTTTCATTGAAATCTTATCACATGTTTACACTGGGCAGGGGGAGGAGGGATGCAACTGTTTGTTTGTTTGTTTTGTTTTTCCACTGTGAATCTGTCATTTGAGCGGAGAGGCCCGGCATGCTGTGCTCGATACTCCTTGGATGGCAAGTAGCCACAGTCGCTCTGCAAATTTCAGTCCCTGCCCAGCCCATGAAACTCACCTCACCCAGAACTTGTTTAAACTTCTCCAGCTGTTCTTGGCATGTGCTGGGATTTCACAAAGCTGATGCCATCAACTCCCACACGTAGAACGAGAGAAAGAGAAAAAGAAAGAATGCACAACCTTATTTATGGCAAGGAGACACTTCTCTTTGTGTGTTTGTGTGTGTGCATGTGCACACATGTATACACATGCTGAAAAGCATAAGCATGTGATGGTTCTTATTAGAAATAAAAATAACAATCCCTAATAGCTATTAATCACCAAAACAATAAAGATGCAACAATCTAATTTACGTGGGTAGATAAAAGTCTTTAGAAAAACTCCAATAATTCAGCTCTCCCTGTACTAATCTAGGCTTAGGATGTTCTACAAATCAGTGTAATTGTGAGGACACAGTTGGGATTCTGTTTCTTTATAGGTGAGATCATGACATCTGTGTTACTTGTAAAGTTTTAAGGTCAGGACTATCTCAGTCCCTGAGATTCAAGGCCTATAGTAGAGAGCTAGGGATGGCTCCTTCATGATGCATTAAGTAAGTATAAACTACGGTTGCACAAAGTTTACCATTCAAATAAATAACACCAAGTCTAACACACACAATATATATACACACCATGCATGTAGCCGGGGGGGGGGGGGGCTTGAGGGGCTTCACCCCCCCCCCCCCCCGAAATTCTCATGGTGGTTCGCGAAAAGGCCTTACTGGTGCATTCTTTAAACTGTTATGTTTATTCATATCATGATCTGATCACCATACTCAATATATCCCATATGCATGGGGGTATTGGGGTAATGATACAAAAGGTTTGCTAGGCTAGACCCTCTTTCACTCAGACTCTCAGCCCCCCCCCCAAACCCACCCCCCCCCCGAACCCCCCTGAAAAAAAATTCCCCCCCCCCCCCCCGAAACGAAATCCTGGCTACGGGCCTGATACACACACACACACACAGATAATTTTCAAGACAGTACTCTTAGCACTGAGATTCCTTCTCTTTGATCTCAGGACTTGAGCAGAAAGGCTAAGCGCTGAGACTCAGGGTATGATCTGGGAGACCTAGGGCCCATCCAGACAACCCTTTTATTGCAGAACCTTCCGCAATAAAAAGGGGGCTGTTCAGACGACGTTCTGGGAAGTCCTGCATTAATTCGCTACCCTGGTTTGTAGTGAATTAATTTGTTAGTGTATTTATTCTGTGCCTTTTTGGAAATAAGCCCAGTAAACTGTGGGAATACCCACCCCTTCCCCCAAGCCCCCATACCTTTTAGAAAAGGGGGGGGACACTTATCAGCCTGCAGTATTCCCTCTCTGCAGCTCTCCCAACATGTACAAAATCACCCCCCCCCCCCCACTCTCCTGGCATCATTTCTATGTGCTGGGAGAGCTTTTTTGTTTTTTTGTTTTTTTTTTTTTTTTTTTTTTTTTTTGTGTTTTGTGCAAGGAGGGAATACTGCAGGCTAGTTAAGTTTTAAAAAACTTTTCTAAAGGGGCTGGGGGCTTGGCGAGAGGAGGGGTAGGGCCTCCCCACATTCTCTCGGGCTAGTCCCAAGAGAACCTGTGGACAACCCACCCCAGAAAGCATGCGCTCCTGAAACATGCACTTTTTTTAACGTGGATGCTTTTGAGATAAAGGAGTTGTGTTTTTCATCATTATGTTAAAATACAGTAAGCCCTTGGTATCTGCCAGTGTTTAGTTCCAGCACCCACCATGGATACCAAAATTCATGGATGCTCAAGTCCCATTATATACAATTTCTCAGGCTTCAGATAGTTGAATCCACGAAGAATCCACAGGGATGGAGATATGACTGTACATTTTTTCCAAACTCAAATGTTCAATACCTTGGCTCACCTTCCATCTTAAGATCAAGATTATTTGATCCTGTGTGTAGAATACCTCTACTTAAAACTTGAGCTATCTACGCAGTCTTTTTCTTGAAGAACCATTTATCTGGAAACAAAGTATCTCCGAAGGTCTAAATAGCCCTGAGGAACCAGATCCCATCGAATTGTGGAAGCTAAGCAGGGTTTGGCCTGATTAGTACTTGAATGGGAGACACTATATCCAGAGGAAGGAACTGGCAAAAGCATCTCTAGGTATTCCTTGCCTAAGAAAACCCTATGAAATTCACGGGGTTGCCACAAGTCAAAACATGACTTGAAGGCACACACACACACACACACACACACACATAAGAACCCTAAATTTGTTCATTTGTTGGCACCTGGACAGTAAGCCAGGAAGACACGCGAATCACCTGATGCTCTTTCACACTACATAAATTTGGCACTGCGGGCATATTTCAGGGTGCAGCTACACTCTAGAATGAATGTTGTTTGACACCACTTTAACTGCCATGGCTCAATGATACAGAATCATGGGACCTGTAGTTAGGTGAGACACCAGCATTCTTTGGCAAACAAAACTGAAGATGTTGTACACCTACAACTTACACAATATCATAGCATGGAGCCATAGCAGTTAAAGTAGTGTCAAACTGCATTCATTGTAAAATGTAGGTATTGTAAAATGTAGGGGAGGGGGAGGAATGTGAAATGAATGTGTAGGAAACACAGTAGCTATGTCCTATCTTGATTTCTGGAGCACTGAAAAGACATCAAGGTGAGGACCTGGTTACCTTATGTGTTCAGCTGTCAGCAATCCACACACACATGTCAATCAGGCCTAAACTGAGCATGTGGACAGCCACTGTTGGAAAGCACTGTGCTGTTGATATGAAAAGTTCTGTCTGTGAAGCCGACGTTGTGATGACATATGCAAGTCATCACTTCGCTATAATCGTCGTCAAACAGCTGTCAGTGCAATCTCAGCCTGTGTGATAATGCTAAATTGATCTCCAGAAGGCTGCTCTGAGTCAAGTAATTTAACAGGCAGATTAGCAATTTAACAAGCACATTTCTCATGATGGGTGAGTTTGGCCTGCTTTGATCGAGTATATGTTTCAAAACACAAGTGTCTTGGGAGGATGTTTTAGCATATAGCTGCAGGTCATCTTTGGTGACAGGGGCTGTATAATCTGTCAGACTGACTGCAAATGGGGTTGGTCTATTAGAAGAGTTATTTGCATTTTTGTAGAGTACTGCACAACTTCTTCTACTGCTACTTTGCCAAGCAGTATTGTGACTTCTTACTTAAGTCTCAACCTTATCACCTTGGCATCTAGGAAAGAAATTACACTTGATTTGATCTAGGACCCATTCATTTCTCTTTTAGCAGTCCAGGGTATCCACAGACCTCTCCTCCAGCAAATCATATCAAATGAATTTATTCTTTTCCTGTCAGCTTTCCTTACATCCAGCTTTCACAACGATACCTAGAAATTGGAAAGTAAGGCATAGAGAATCCTAATCTTGATACTCAATGATACATCTTTACATTTCAAAATGTATGCCGTTATTTCATAGCTGGCCTTCCCGCTCTGATTTCTTCACTGCAGTTTCCATTCCGATTAATGCCTGAGCCAATATATACAAAATCTTTGACTATTTCCATGTCATTATTGACTTATGTAAGTTATATAACTCACCTGTGGTCATTATTTTAGTTTACTTAATGCCTTTGCATTTTCCTCCTAAAATAATAAACTAAATTATTTTTGTTTACTTAATGCCTTTGCATTTTCCTCCTTGACTTTCTTCAGTTCTCGTTCCAAGTCTTTGCTATCTTTTGTTAATAATATGGTGTTGTCTGCATATCTTAAATCGTTGCTGTTCCTTCCTCCAGTTTTCACCTTCACATATGCAATAGTCCCAAAAATTCCTTGAACACAAGGAGGTGCCAGTGCAGAACTTGATTGCAGAAGTCTTCTGCTTGGGCTGCTTTATGATTTTGCAACATTTAGATGCATTCTTAAAGTTTGAAAACCTTGCTAAAACTTGAAGGGCTGCTGGTTGTTGCACATACCTTTATTTTTGACTTTACTTTAACTTCTGGCTGTCTGTTTTTAAGCAGTGTTTTATCAAATATAAGATATCAGTTCTCTGACTTACCTATTAGGCTCTGCATTGGGGAAGTGTTATGTGCCAACGCACAATGCAAGGCAAAAACCACAATACAAACTGTAAGTTAAAGTTATTTCAGTGTTGCATTCCCTCCTACATCCACTTGTTAACCGCAGTGATATAAATAACTAGACAGTGATCAGCAAGTCAAAACTGGGTATTGTAGTTGCCTGGATGGCCTGGGGAGTATTGTTGAGAATATGTTTGTAGGATGACCACTCATGCAATAATAAAAAAAATCACACACAAAAAAGAGGGCACCAATCTTCATAACATTTGCATAAACTAATTTATACCAAAATACAATACCTGTCACCATAATGGGAATGAGTGCAATGAGATGGCCTATTCAGTCTGCTAACTGTAGATGGGCAACTTCAAAGCCACTTTCAATCAGAGGTGTGTCCTGTTTAAAGTAAGATGCATCACCACCCAGGTTGTGCAGAGAACACTGTCATCAGTATTTCATGGAGGATTTTTCCACTATTGGAAGATGAGGCTACAGGAGATAGCATATGTTGCAACATGCACAGCCTGAATTATGAAAGTGGTTCAGCCACTGCGTGTGGCCATAGAGTTATTTTACTGAGTGCAAGTTATGGCCACCACCTAAATATAAAAAGAAGTCTTTGTTGCTGGTAAATGAAAACCACATGGGAGGCTCCAGCCGAAATCCAATTGTTAGTCCCAACTACATTACACCTACTGAATCAATGGGATTAAGTGTTGATTTACCATTCAACATCTCGTTAATTGCATACACTCTATTTTTGTTGCTTCACAAAGTTCAGGATTTTTCATAAAGCATGAATTTTCTGTGGATTTTTCTCTGCAGATGTTCTACATTGGCAGCATGGAAAGGCTAAGCCATCCCATCCAACTGATATGCAGCTGGTTTTACATTTTGATACACTAGAGCAATTCTTGTGCTAGAATTTTAGTGGTGTTGCTGTTGGCTTGACATTTTGCTGGGAAAAGTAGAGTGTGAACTTATAAGTCAACGTGGCTAATATGCAATCACAGTTCTATAATTGTGAGTAGGGTGCACAGTGCTTTCTGTTCCAACTTCTGGGTCAAATGCAAGCTGAACTGCATGTTTCTTAATATATGGACTCACTCCTAATTAACTTGGCATTGCTACTAGCAATTCCCCAATGCCTCAGTTCCTAATTTTTTTGTTTCCTCCTGAATCCTACCTGGCAGTAACAACGGCTATGGCCCCTTCCACACAGCTGTATAAAATCCACATTGAACTGGATTAAATGGTAGTGTAGATTCAGATAATCCAGTTCAAAGCATATATTGTGGATTATCCACCTTGATATTCTGGGTAACGTGGCTGTGTGGAAGGGCCCTATAAGAAGGGCAGCTGTTGCATTAAGAGGCCTCAAGCAAACCTAAGACATAAGGAAATGTAGTTTCCCAGGGTTTCTTGTTCACAGAAAAACCCAGATGTCTATTTCCCATGTCTCTAAAGTACAATTTCATTAAAGAATTTGGATGATGGGGCAGCATTCTATTCCCAGAATCCTGTGTATATCTTAATCAAGATCACCCCCAACCTACTCCATACATTGTCAAACTCACATTTCCCAGCATTCGTCACCACTGGTTATACTGGCTAAGGCTGTTGGAACCTGCACTTCAACACATGCAGGTCCACCAGATTCCGATCCCTGTCTTAAACCAGCATCCCATACAAGCAGCAGCCAACCAAGTGTACTAAAATGAAGAGACTGAGTCTGATGACCTCACATCCAGATCAGTCTTCTTTAATTATGTAAAAATGACTGAAGAGACCCAGGAAAAGGAGGTGACGAACCAATCAGAATAACTCATGCTCTGAAACTTGAGCCAGTGCCTGGAAAAAAATATTTTGGGGACCAGTGGCCATGCTGCTAAGAGGTGTCTGTCTAGACATCACAGTATCACAAAGTAACTTTCCCAAATTCTGCAGATAATCTGATTAGTGCATAAGGTGCAAGAGAAGATTTCCCCCAACCAAGAGTCTTTCAGAAGTGTTGAGCTATAACTCTCATCATTACCAGCCAACAGAACGAATGGAAAAAGTAATTCAGCATATCTAGAGGTTACTAGATTAGGGAAAATTGCTGCAGGGACTCAGAACCAGCATCAGTCGGCATCACCGCCTGGCCACTGCGCACACACCCTTCCCCAGGCATTTGCCTCCCAATGAACTCACCTTCTTCTGGAATCAACAACTAGCAAAAACCACAGGGTTTGCTTTCTCAGTTTCACTCTCTTAACATGATAAAATAAGAGCAGACTGTTTGCAGGTGGGATGTTTATGACTTGAATTTCAAACGTTTAACATTAGCATTTATTAATTTTGTAGCAAAACCTGAATAACCAGTTGGCTCAGAAGGGTAGGCTTTCTAACACAGATTTTGCTGGAGGCAATCTGAGAAATCTGGGCAAAGATGCATGCCAAGCATCTTTCTGATGATGATAATAGTAATCATAAGTACCCTGTTTGGCCTCACATGAATTTTGAGCTATGTGCTATCTTGTTGCCAAGATTTATTTTTAAAAAAGGATGCATGAGTTGTGGAATAACCAAAGTTCAGAAGAGTTACTTTTTTGGGCAACTCCCAGAAGTCATAATGGGGGGAAGTGCCCAAAAATATTAGGGGTGTTGTGGTCCAACAAAGGCATTTTTTCCCAAGCTCTGATAATACTGAGATTGGGAAAGTATCACCCTTGACTTTGTGTCATTTATTTTGCCTTATTTATTTATTTATCATGTCAGAAGCAAGTTGAAGGTACAGTTAAAAGGCATTTAAAAACACAAAGTTTTTTTTTTAAAAAAAGAACTTGGCATTATGCTAAATGTCCTTTGATCAGAAGCTGGCCACTTGGAGTGCCTCTGATGTCGCTGTGAGAAGGTCTTCCTTTGTGCATGTGGCAGGGCTCAAGTTGCATTGTAATGGTCTGTGGTTTGCTCTTCTCCACACTCACATGTCATGGACTCCAATTTATAGCCCCATTTCTTAAGGCTAGCTCTGCATCTTGTGGTGCATCTTTTTGGCGAGACCTGTATATGTTTCCTGATCATTCAGAAAATGTCAGTAATACACCATTGAGCCATTGTCTTCATTTCTCTGTGAACATGGTAGAATTTCTGGATATACGGTATTTCCGTCCAGCTGCTTCTCTTTCTAGTCTTCATTTGTAATTTCCTTGTTCAAGAACTGTAGATTGCTTACTCTGTGTCCAGGATGGTTAAAATATCCTGTAACTGGTTTTTGAGTACCGCAATTTCTAATGTCCAATTAATCTTCTTGCATAAAGACTGCACTGTTTGTCCAATGTAGGGTTCAGTGTGCATTACTACCATAGGATAACATAGATTACATTGGAGGACAAGCAAGCAAATGCACTACCACCAGTTCTGTAGGTGATGTTATTGACCCCTGTAATATTTTTTCCAGCATAAATGTGGGGACAGGTTTAGCAACTTTGTTGATGGCAGTGTCTTGTTCCTTTATTACGTTATGTATCCTGTTGAGAATGAGTAGTAGTTTAAAATCTATAGGTCAATAAAGCCCTGTCTCCCAAATCTTGTGAGAAAGCTGGAATTATCTGGAATTAGTTGTTCCTCCTTGATGATGTATTTGAGTGGTCTCAGCTGGGGATTGTAGGTGACAACACAGAATGTTCTGTCATTGTGCACTACTTCTTTGTCTTGTAATATATAGTTTCTATATATTAATTCTGCCTTCTGGATTTGTTTCACTTTCTTGAGTGGGTATGGTAGTTTGAAGAATGCCTGTTGTAAATCCAGGAGTCTCTGTCTTGAGGAGTCTGGGGAGATGTGGTTGTATCAGCAGGCTTGACTGGAAGCAAAAGATCTTGTGTATTATGTGTGGAAACCAGGGACAAGTATGATATATAGTGGTTAGTGGGTTTTCAGTAGAGTGTGGTGCTTAGAAGTTCATTGCACATACTGGGGTCAGGAAAGTAAACTCTGGAGAGGTCCCTATACAGTTTTTATTTTTGTAGTGCTTGAAAACATGTTCATGGAAGGTGTTTCAGTAACCATGGTCATGCCATGCTTGGAAACCATTTCCTGGCTACTGTCACCCTCCCTGAAATAATTCTTTGAATTGCAAACAGCAATTCCGGATTATTACCGAAATGAATAATGAATGTAGGTTTTGAGGAGTGAAGAATAGGTCTCATGAAAGGACAGAGTCCTCTGCCTAGGTCAGTATATGGCTTGAAAAGTTTACAAGATTAGTGTCCAAGTTGGTGGAGTTCCTGCTTTACACCCTTGGGGCATGTAATTAAGTTTGCATCTCTGCATCTCATTTATTATAGACAACTACTAAGCATAAATAAACAGGAAATAAGACTAAAAGCATTGGATGAGATTAAATTAATAGAACCCAATACTTTGTGGTCCCAATACTGACAAATTAATGAAAATTATAAAGAGGACAAAAAAAGGATTTGAGAAAAAAGAAACGTTTTGGGATAAGATCTTAAAGACCGATACAAACTTATAAGAAGAATTTATCAACAGCTACTGTTATGAACAACAGAAGAAGAACAAGTGAAGGAAGTGATGATTAAATGGGCAAAGGCAATGGGTCATACAATCAACATGGAAAAATGGGAAGAAATCTGGTTGAAGAAATTGAAATACGCATATGCTACTGAAATTAAGGAAAACTGGTTTAAAATGTTCTATATGTGGTACCTCACCCCAGAAAAATTAACTAAGTATAGTAAGGGCAAGACAAACAAGAAGTGCTGGAGATGTGGGAAACATGGCACCTTCATCCATATGTGGTGGGAATGCAAAGTAGTTAAAAAACATGGTACATATATATTAAAAAATGGGAGAAATTTTACACCTTAAATTTGAATTTAAACCAGAGAACTTCTTGCTTGGAATCATAGACTTTCAAATAGATAAAAATGATGACAAGATCTTCTTTTATCTTGCAATGGCTGCAAGAATAAGTATAGCCCGCCTTTGGAAAATGAAAGTAACAGCAACAATGAATGATTGGATTGAAAAAGTGATGGATATTATAAACATGGATCTGTTGACCCAACAAGTCGCTCTAAGTAGAGTACCACAAAACAAAACAGGCTGGAGTAAATTTATTGCTTTCCTAAAAAAAGAAAAGTTACAAATATTAACAATAAGTGAATGAAGAAGTCCTAAGGGCCGTAACATGAATAACAGAATATGATTCCTATACCAGTGGTTCTTCATCTGTGGGCTGCGGACCACCAGTGGGTGAAGAGGATGGAAATCTGGTCCGCGAGCATCCTTCCTCTTTATTTATGTATTTTAATTTAGTTATTTCATTTCCACTCCTTCCGTGCCGCCTGCCACTCCTTCTCTGTCACTGACCATGGCATATGTTCTGTATCAGAAACTAGAGCTGATGTGGTCTATCCAATGCAATTTTCTAAATCAGCACCCCAAATCGAATCTGAAGTTGACCAAAAACTGATTCGTAAGCCATTTGCTACTCATGTTGGAGATTGGTCCCTGATTAAGTGGTCCCTGATCATGTAGTCCCTGATCAAAAAAAAAAGTTGAGAACCACTGATCTATACTGATTAGAACTTGTAAGTATCAATATCTGATGCATCTAAGGAGATACCAGATTGCAAAGATGAGTGCATGCATCTTGTATACATCTCTTGGAAAATGTGCAAATACAATGGTATGTTGCTTTTGAGGAATCATATGTCTGGGAGACCTCAAAGACAGCTTGTTGTACCTTCAAAGCTAGAATTACCACAGTTTAATTTTAAAAATGCCTTTGGCTGAGGCCAGGTGCAGAACAATGTCGGTTGGAGCGGGGCAAGAATGACTCAAAGGTAGAAGTAAAGGAAAAAAACAGATATCAGCGGCTCTGCCAAAATTATTTTTTGAAATCACTTCTGCCATTCCACATGTCAATAAAATAAAGAATTGGGCAGTGTGCAGGAAAAGAGGTCCTTCCTACACACGACAAAGCACTTCTTCACTATGAGAGCTGTGTGGCAGTGGAAAAGATTGCCTCAAGGCCCTTCCAAACAGCCATATAACCCAGAATATCTGCTTTGAACTGGGTTATCTGAGTCCACACTGCCATATATCCCAGTTCGTAGCAGAAAATGTGGGGTTTTATTCAGCTATGGGGAAGGGGCTTCAGTGACTGGTGGTAAGAGTGTGGACTAGATAGCCCTTGCAGTCCAACTTGAAGGTTTTATGATTCCACAACATATGTGAAATCTAGGAGGGACCTTGGATGAAGTACATCAGGAAAGATCTGACCCATTTCTAAGTCATATCTACTTTTTCTCCATCTAGATATTGCCTCACACTGGTAAGGTTGGCTGGAAATACCCCTCCTCACTCTTGTCCTCTCAGCTCTGCAAATCTGAAGACTATACCTCCTGACCCTGTGTTGCATAATAACAACTTTCTACCACACCGAAGAAGCTCCTTCAGTTTTGCAACAATGACTATTCTGCAGCTTCCGTGGAGGGTTCAAACCATCCCATATCAGCAAAACCACAACACTGTTTTCTCCCTTTATTCCAAGCATTGTTGTGAAAGAGGAAGAAGAAGGCTGCTTCACCCAGAAAGAAAAAGGGCTCCTCCCAAGTCCTGTGGATTCTCTAACTCTAGCTTTACACTAGTGCATTAGTACAATTCAAAGGTAACTGAGTTAGTCTGGATCAGTAGGCACAGAGATACTGTAATACCTTTGAGACTGAAAGATGTGTGTATCATAAGCTTTCAGAAATTTCCATGTATTTCATGCATCTGATCCAGTACTCTTCATTCTGTGAAAGCTCATGCTAACAATTTTTCCTCTGAGTTAGTCTCAAAGATGCTACAGTATCTTTTTGCATATTGACTCGCCGGACTCGCCCAGTATTACCACAAATTGTGGCAATGCTGGTGGTGCCTACCCAGGGATCATAGGGACCTGTTGTCCTGTCTTCCCCCCACCTCATCACATGGGGAAGCCTCTTTAAGATGCCTTATCCCATCTTTCCTTATGGAAAGACAGGAAACCTCCCATTGTGCACCACCAACAATATTTTGGCAGTGGCAGGGTTGTTTGTTTGTTTGGTTGTTGTTGTTGTTGTTGTTGTTGTTTGCCAGTTTTGCCATGGATCCACCCCTGAAGTATGTCTCTGGGGTATGATGGGAGCCATCAGGCTCATGGCAATAATACAAAGAAGCTGTTGCCATCAACAAATTTGGGCCCATGTGAAGAGGTCCTTAGTGTATGATCTCGGTGTATGAT